GTGTTGGCCGGAGTGGAGAACGTTCAAAGAACGATGGAACATGATGGCGGTCAGTTTCGACCAGGGCCCGATGGGTCACCAGCGGAGAAAACCTACACGGCTGGGGACGAACATTCCGAAGTTGGTGGAACTCCAGGACATCCGAGGATCGGGAACTGGGGGCGGAGCTGCCTTGGCGGAGGACTTGGCGGAGCGCATCAAACAAAGCCGAGAGTGGTCGGCATGGGCTCCTGGCCTCAAGGCCGCTTTGGCGGTGGGAATCCGGGATGCTTTGTCAAACCCAGGGTGCATGGTTAAGAAAATGGACCTCGAGGCCTGGAAAAAGCACCTCCTCAACGGTCATATACCGTACTCCAGAGAATGCAAGTCGTGTGTTGTCGCAGCCTCTCGTGGACGTGCTCACAAGCGGATCCAACACCCTGACGCATACACGCTGTCGATCGATACTGCTGGACCGTTTCAGGAGGCTGATGATCAACTTGGTCGAGGGAGGTATCTTCTCATCGGTGTCTACCTGGTCCCAGTGTCCAAGGAGGGACAGACACTGATCCCGATCAACGAAGATGATGAACTCCCTCAAACCATTGGGGATGGACCAGAGATCACCACAGTGGCGGAAGAGACGGCGGAGCCTGCGGAGGAGACGGTGAGTTCATGGCCGGGAGAAGGGGATGATGATGCTTGGCTCGAGAAAGTGGAGAAGGAGACAGACTTCACAGTCAAGCAGATCACCATGACCGAGATCCTGGAGAACCGCGGTGGGCAGGCAGTTGTGGAGGCAATCAGTCGCTTCCATGCGAGGCTGAGGTTCTTGGGTCTCCCTGTACTACGGCTTCACTCAGATCGGGCAGGTGAGTATCAATCTCGAGCTTTCGACCGCTGGTGTCGTGAGAGAAATGTGATGCGAACCTTCACTGATGCCGATAACTTCCGAGGAAATGGAAGAGCAGAGTGTGCGGTGGCGCAGGTGAAGAGAGGTGCAAGAACGCTCCTCTTAGCTGCCGGGTTGGACGAGAGCTACTGGTGTCATGCCGCTCGCCATTGGTCTGAATGCAAGATGAGGAGGCAGTTGGAGTCGATGGGATTGAAGCGGCGGGAGCTGACTCCGTTCGGACAACAGGTCTGGGCTAAGAGGAAGCTGTATAGTGATCGACAAAAATACCTCTCCACGACCAGGACGCAGGTGAGGATCCTCTGCCCCGCGGTCACGATGTCCTTGACAACTCCGGGCTATTTTGTCCAGGAGATCAAGACGGGGAAGTTCTTCCACACAGGGGACGTTGTGGAGGTGGCCGAAGTCCCAGAGGACCTTGGAGCTCCGGCCCGAGAGGCAGGCTATCTCCATGAGGTTGAGGAGAGAGAAAGCCTTCCTCAGCCGAGGAAGAGACCTGGCCGGGTTCGAGGGGCAGTGAAGAGCCTGCAGGTTCCGGAAGAGGAATTCTGGGCGGCAGACTGGGGGGAGCTGCAGCAGCGAGGAGCTCAACTCCTGTCCGAGGAGCTCAGCTTGGTCGAGGAGAACGAGTGTGAGATCACCAATGAACGCTTCCTCAAGGCCCTCACTCTGGAAGTGGAGGCGGTGACGGAGGAGGCCAATCAGGTTGGCCAGTGGGAAGAAGCTCAGAAGGCTGTGGAGATAGAGAAGGAGATTGAGGAGCACCCGGCATTCCTGCAGACGAGAATGGTGGGCTTGGCCGAGGTCAGGAAGAACATGGCCGAGTGGAGACCATCGATGGCAGAGGAGTATGGTGCCCTGGTCACAGAATCAGAGGCGGTTGAGCCGATCGACCGTGCCCGGATGGAAGAACTCCGGAAACAGGCAGCCGAGTCAGGAAAGGACTTTGACCTGGTCCCTGCGAAGGCCATCTTCAGTCGAAAAGCTGGCACGGGTCGCCACAAGTGTCGAGGGGTCGCCTGCGGAAACTTCATGCACGCGAAGAGCAGCGAGTCCACCTTTGCGTCCGGAGCTAGTGGCATTGAGGTGCGGATGTTGATGAAGGTGGCTGCTGTTCGCGGATGGGACCTCTCGACCATCGATGTCAAGACGGCCTTCCTCAACGCTCCAGTGAATGAGGCCGCCGAACGAGGCATAGTGGTCGTGGAACCGCCTCGCATCTTCAAGGAGGCAGAGGTGCTTCGACACCCCACGGAGTACTGGCTGGTCAAGAAAGCCTTGTACGGGCTCGTGACGTCTCCTCGGGATTGGTGTGTCCACAGAGATCAGAAGATCAAGGACTTCAAGTGGGAGATCGAGCACACCCAGTACATGATGGAAGGAACTGCTCAAGATGATGTTTGGGCGATCAAAAGCCGGGTCGAAGGGGATGGAGGTTGGCAACTTGCAGGACTATGCGCAACATACGTGGATGACATCCTCATCACCGGGGAGAGGAAGGTGATTGAGCAGTTTCATCAACGAGTCCGAGAGCACTGGAAAATTGGTGAACCAGAGTGGGTCGAAGAAGGCCGGGAACCAATCAGATTTCTGGGAATGGAGGTCGAAAGGCGAGGGCGGGACTATGTGATCCACCAGAGGGCGTACCTGGAGAATCTCTTCATGGAGTATGACGAGAAGGGAAGGTCATCACTCGGGAACATCAAGACGCCTGAGGAGGAGGATCCACCCCTGGCGATCGATGTGACGAGAGCCCAGAAGGAGACCGGAGAGCTGCTTTGGGTCGCCGGAAGAACACGCCCATGCATTTGCCTGGCAGTGAGCCTCATGTGCCAATGGGCGACCAAGAGGCCTAAAGGGGTGATTGCCATTGGAGCTCAAGTTCGAGCCTATCTTCGAGAGACCCGAGATGAGGGATTGGTCATCAAGGGAGGTGATGGAAGGGAGGAAGTGGCGGAGGAAGTTCTGGGGGACGTGGAGGTCTACTCGGATGCATCGTACGCTTCCTCCGACCTCAAGAGCCTAACTGGGGTGGTAGTGTGCTATGGAGGGACTCCGATTGCTTGGCACACTACGAGACAAGCATTCATCACACTCTCCACAGCGGAGGCTGAGCTGATGGCGATGTTAGAAGGCCTGGTGACCATCCGCTCGACGGGAGCTCTAGTGGAAGCGGTGCTTGAGAGAAAGGTGAAGATGAAGATGCACTCTGACTCCACAGCGGGCATAGCGATTGCTGCAGGCACGACCTCATCGTGGAGGACACGGCACCTGAGGATCAGAGCTGCTGGGTTAACGGAAGCACTACGGTCAAGAGAAGTCTCCTTGAGGCACGTGGCTGGTGTCGAGCTGGTGGCAGATGGAATGACGAAACAGCTGACGGGCCAGCATTTGAAGAACTTCAAGGACACCCTGGGATTGGAGAAGATCCAGGTGATGGAGAAGATGGAGGTCAAGAAGCTGGAGTTTGGAAGAAAGAGTCCTGACCCACGGTTTGCGAGAGGGCTAGGACTGCTGATCGCCGCAACGAGCATGATCACCCAGGTTGAGGCCAGCGACACCCAGACAGATGGAGGGGGCAGCGAATGGTGGATTTTGGTTCTCCTCACCGCAGCGATTGCAATCATCGGAGACATCCTGTTTCGGGTGGGTACTGCGGGTGTCAAACGATGGATGTCGCCGAGAGAAGAGCTCAAAGTGAAGCTCCTCCATCCTGAGGCACGACTACCAGTTCGTGGTTCAGAGCAGGCGGCCGGTTTGGACCTCCACTCGGTTATTGAGACCATGGTGCCCTCAGGCGACGGCGTACTGTTGAAGACTGGCTTGGCCATTGAACTTCCTCCAGGAACCTACGGACGGGTGGCTCCGAGGTCGAGCTTGGCCATTCGGGGAATCGAGACAGGGGCTGGAGTCATTGACCGAGATTTTCGAGGGGAAGTGAAAGTGCTCTTGCGGAACTGGAGCGACGAGGACCTCTTCATCTACAAGGGTGATAGAGTGGCTCAGCTGGTGATCGAGAAGATCATGGAGGTTGGGGTCAACAGCGTCGAGAACCTGACGGAGACGGTCCGAGGTTCAAGGGGATTCGGCTACTCTGGACACGAGGAACTGTACCCCTGGGCAGAGCCGGATGACCCTCTCTACCAGCGACAGGAAATGGGAACTCGGAACCCTGTCGACCGTATCTCCATCAGGTCGCTGAGAGTCGGAAGAAGACGAGGTGGAGCGACTGAGGACAGAAGCATCCAGACCGAGGAGGACGCTGGTGGGGAGCTATCTCAGGAACACCAAGAAGGTGCTGGAGACCATCGAGTACCCGATTCAGAACTATGGTGTCGAGGAGCCTACGATGTGGAGGCAGAGGAGAGGCGCCGCAGGAATCTGGGCTTGGGCTTAAGTGCCTGGGATCGATCTATGGTCAGACGAGGAGCTCGGCGGAACCACGGTGGTACATGGGTGATGATGGATTCAGAAGGGGTGCACTTCGTGGCACATGACCCAGGAGATGGTCGTGGACCAACGCGGGGCATTGACTTCGGAGCTCGTGGAAGTGGAGGAGATGAAGCACCACCTCAAGAAGGAGCTCAACTACCGGAAGAGCATCAGCCGGGAAGGCTACCGAGGGTGGAGCCGCTGCGACTGGTCACGACAGTTGAGAAAGGCATCGTGCTTGGGAAATGGTGCCATGAGGAGGAAATGTGGGATTATTTGAGGTCCCCAGGATTCCAGAGGGGCTTCATCAATGACGCGGTGTTGAAGGTCATCTCCACCCCGCCGCGACGTACCGCGGCCAAGGACTCCTGGGACTACCTGATCGACTATGATGGAGGAAAGAAGATTGGGATCAGAGTCCACTACCAGGATCGAAAGAAACTCTATGACTTCGATGCCAAGAACTTGCTTGAGGAGGAGTGGAGTCCATGGAGGATGACGGTGGCATGGCACACCACTTCGAAGCGGAAGACGATCCTTGTGGACGAGAGAAATGGAAGAAAAGGAGTTCACCTAGAGACGTGGTGGGGCTACACCATGTTCAAGACCATTTGAAGGGAAAAGGCTTGAGCCCCCCCTAAAAAAGGGGTTTTGGAGTTTTCGGAACCTCCAGATTCGCTGAGGCAGCGAAGGGGGAGTGCTGGTACATGAAATCGAGAAGTGTACCTAGCTATAGAAGTTGGAAGAAGGTGCACGCTTTGAGAAGTGTACCAAGTTGTTCGATGTGCAACGCACAAATCGAGAAGTGAATGACTGAAGCCTTTTTTGTCCGAGAAAAAGTGCCTTTCGAGCACACGCGGCTTGGATCCCCCAATCCAAAACCGTCCCTCAGAACCATGAAGAGCTCCCAGATGCTCCAAATTCGTCCTCAGAATAGCTCCAGGATGCTCCAAATCGGGCACTGAAATGCTGATCTTCTTTTGTTGTTCTCGCCCGTGACAACACGTGGCACTGAGGAGTAGCTCCTATGGCACGGGCACGATGCGTGCAGTGAGCATCCTCCTCCAGAGTATCGGCTTGCAGAAGGCCCCCACCGGCCCCTGGTGCTGGAAGTGAAACCCGTGTGACGTGGGTGTTCTTTGCGGTTCGGCGCATGAGGTCGACCGAGGTCCGGTCCGAATCCGCATCCGAAGGCATCGGGGGCGGCATGCGCGTCCCGAGTGAAGTCAGTTGTTTGACCCAGACCCAGTTCCACTTCCACTCCGGGCTGCCATGCTGAATTCTTCCTGGGGTAGCTTCAGGGATTGTATAGGCATGTACTCCATACATGGAGTGCTTGGTCATGTCTGGTTCATATATCCAAACTGATTCAGCACAAATGGAGTGGCCATGGCGTATGGCCATGGCGGCCACAGACCGGCCAGGTGACAAGCACCGTCTTCTTCGACTGGACCAACGTGTTAAACATCGTGGGGGTGTCACAGTCGCCAGCGAAATCGCGTCACAGTCGCTTCGAGGTGCTGGTTTGGGGGTTTCGTGCTCCCTGTTGACAATTGAATTTGCAAGTGTTGGGGAAGGGGATGCAGGGAAAACAGGTGAGCAGACCTTCACCAGGGACCTTTGAGCCAATCAGGTCTCAGGACTGAGCACGTTCAATTTCTAGCAAGTTGTTCACAGAGGACTTTTCCAAAGGTACTCCATCCAGAATGAACTCCATAGAATGACCAACCATCTGGGTTCCAGAACATACAGAATCTGGTTGGGATTTGCAATGGCATTCAGTGTGGCTTCAAGAAGAGACTTCTACACAGCAGGGACTCGCAGGTGTCATCCCATGTGTTGGAATGTCCGACTCGTGACCTACAAGACCTGTGACCATGTCGGTCGTTTGGTCGTGGTGTTGTCGCAGTGCAGGACCTGTCGGCTTGGTCTCCCCCCCTTTAAATTCGGACGTCCACGTCTTGTCCGTTCTTGGCTCAGTTTGGTGGCACACCCGGACCATAAAAGTCACCTGGAGATTGAGTCATTTGTGTCAAAGAGTCTAAGAATAACTATAGTAATCTATAGTATATACATGATTACACATGCATGAGTTCTCAAATGTGAGCATTAGTGTATATTATACTGTAAATCATTTTACATATGTGTAGTTATTTATATATACCAGAACCCCCTAAGAGGCTTCTATTGATAGCCTCTTCGAGGTTAAGGGGTGTCTATTAACCACCCCGACAGCGGGTCCTGGTATGAATTGATTTGTATCGAAGTATGAACAGAAGCTCAGAAGCTGCGTGTGGCTCTCTCTGACTTGGGAAGGAGGTTCGGGTGGGACATGGGTGGGACCATCCTCAACCTCTACGGAGCCTCTACACCCTCCAACTCCATGAGGCCTTGTTCTTTAGCAGCTCCTTCCTGGCTGTGGTATGCTCCCGCTGGGACATGCAGATCTCTCAGAAGATCCAGGAGACCCCAGACATGTTGGTCGAGTCCGCGCGTGCGGTTGGGTCGGAATGATTGATAGGACTGCCCCGATATGCCTTGATGAGCGCCGTGATGTCTCCTCCTCGCAGAGCACCACGTCGACCTGATGTCTCCTCAAGATGATCCTCCATGGTCATGAGTCATCAGGGGTTGCGGTTGCCAGCAATGTTGGTACCATCACTACTAGTAGAGTCCGCTGAGAGACTGGTTGAGCCGGTGATTTGTTGGTGTTAAGCTCCAACAGGACAGACAGGACGACAGGCAGCGTCTCCGCCGTTTCGGTGTGGGCCAGGGCCTTGGGTGGGTGGGGGTGTTGGTGGGTGGAGCTTTTGGTGTTTAATCCTAATTCTAATTCTAATAGCTTCTTGTTCCTAGTAAGGCCAGGCGCGCCTAATTATTTGTGGCGTCCGATCGCTCCTAGGGTCTTCACGCCAGGAGGATGCGGAAGAGCTGGAGCAACGCTCCAGGTTCTACGTGGCACATGTGTGCCTGGGCCAACTTCCGATGTCTTGTCCTTTCGACGGCGATTTTTGTGTGGCTGGTCACCCTGTGGTATCCTCAACTGGGGCAAATCGACCTGCACGTTCGACGGGGTGCTATCCATGGGGGTTAGGAGTGTCCAGAACATCCACTCACTTGGGGACTAAACACAACCCCCTTTGTGACTTGTAGGTATCATTGTTCACTCCGACTTTCTTCCTCTGGTTCGGACCCCCGAGAAGCACCAGAGGGCTTCCCACCTTCTGGCAGCGCCTCCTTCTGGCAGTCCCTTGACTGTCTGAAAAGGCATATTCTTAGACCCTAAGCCTTAGTCCTTTTGGTTTAGAAGGGATTCCTCACTCTCCCACTAGAGGTTAAACCCTTAGCAATGGACCTATGGACAGCCAAGTACTGATGTCTCCGAGGAAGTGCTGGCGCAAGCTGGAGCTTCAGCAGGCGTGCAAAGAAAAATAGGTGAAACCAGCAGGTTGATCATAGTGCTGTCAGTCTTCTAAGTGGGGATGAAGTGAGTGAACAGGCTAAGTAATTGAATCTGTTGTCATTTAATGTAGGCTCTTGATTCATTGAAAAGAAGCATTTGGATTGCAAAACCTCTTCATAGGGTTGAAATATGGTGTAATGTATGTGTATCATTGTGTATCTATGTTATATGTATAACAGTCTACATGATCCCATGATCTCCGCATCTAATCTCTCGACCCACGCCACCCATGCTTCTCGGAGCGTGTCTGAACTGCCTGCTTCTCGGTGCCCGGGCGGGTCGCCGGGTCACCGAATCGGAGACGAAGTGACATGAAAAGGGTATCTTAGACGTGGCTTTAAACATGCTCGAATTGCTTGGATTTATATATATATATTACCTAAACCCTAAACCCTAATTATAGATATATGTGTTTTTGTTCAATGCCAGATGTTCTATCCCAGTTTGTATGAAGTCGTGTTGGACTTTTCCTAGCATCTTGGCATTTAGAGCTGGGAGTTCTCTGAGCGCTGAGCAGCAACTCAGATCTATAGTGCTAGAATCTAGAAGTTCCCTTCAGCTCAAAGTCAAGAAGCGCATCTCCTTCTTTGCCAAATAACCATATAATAACAATATTCCCAAACAATCCTTGTACATGGGATAGTTGTCTACATTTGGGGGGTGCTCATTTTGCTATTTGAAGGGACACAAATGGCAAAGGTCAATCTTCCAGTCCGGAATCGGATTTGCACCGACCCTTCGGACAGCAAAGAGAGGGTCACTTCTGAACGACTGGACCCGACTGGCTGGACATCTGTCAGAGTCTCCCTTGTCACTGCATGTGGAAGTTGTTTTTGAGGGGGTGGGGGTTAGGGGACAGGGGGTCTCCCATCACTGTAAAGCACTGTTTTGCTCACCGTACCTCAGAGGGGTTCGGATCCAGGATGGGCTTTGGTGGCCAACGCGACCGCGACGGACGTCCGCGCTCCGACCCGTTTTTCGTCCACGCCATTGGAGGTGGCCACCAAGCACGAGATCTTGCGACAGAAGTTGCCGGGGCGCCGGGCACGCACGCCTCGGCGGCGCATTTCCCGGCCGAAAGCCGCCTTACGCTGGCCGGGGGTAGACGCCAGGAGCGTAGTAAAGAGTGGATCATCCCACTGCCACTGATCGAGTTTGAGGGCAAAAGAATCCAAAGACGGATAAACATCGTGGTGGAAAGGTGGATCATCCCACTGCCCCTGATCGACTTTGGGGGCAAAAGAATCCAAACACGGATAAACATCGTGGTGGAAAGGTGGATCATCCCACAAAAGTGCTTGAAAAAAGGATGTTCAGTGGAAAACGAGACACCCCAAACTCGGGTCCAGGTGGAAAGTGAACCTGAACTCGTTTCCAGTGATCCATTAACTATAGACCCCCCCTGGCACCCACCTATAAACCACCTGACCTCAGGAGGTAGGCCAGGAGCCCTTGGAAACCCCTCCGCTTTCATCGGGTTTGGGGTCGGCCAAGGTCGGACAGGTCCGGCTGGTCGTTCGCCTGGCCAGGTTCATGGAAGATCGGCCAGAGAAAGGATCTTTTTCTCGATCAAGAGAGAGCTGATCATAGTGGACACCCAACAAATACACTCTGACTCACTAACATGGAAGTGGAAAGTGGTGCCTTAGAAGACTACTTTCCTTTGTGAACAGAGGGTTTTCCACTTCCATGTTAGTGAGTGGGAGTGTACATCCAACAACGAATCATCAAACTTCCACTTGAGAAACCACCGGTTCTCTCCACCATTCCTTCCAGGTTCACTGCTTCCACTCCTTCCACCGGTCCGGAATCGTCCGGCCTTTCCAGTGGCCTTCGCGAGGCGTGACTTGATCGTCCATCTGAACAGCTTGCGCGTTGGGGCGACCTGGAGCAGTTCACATTGGTTCCGCCCCATCAGTCACGGAGGGAAGCAACAAATCTCACTGAAACCCACCGCAGATTTGCATGATAGTGGATATTGCAACAAATCTCTGTCCAGCTTCTTGACACGCATGCGATATTGAGATATATTGAGACCCAAACCCTCAAAGGATCTGTAAGATAGTGGGGAGATCCCCTTTGCTGTGCCGTTCACCCCTGCAAAGGTTCTTCTTTTTGGACCCTGCCAACGAATTCAGGTGCTCACACTTGTGATCGGTCCTGGTTTCCATGCCTGTTGGAGAGTTCGGGTGGGCGGCCTTGACATCGTGAAAATTGTGGGACTTGTCTTCCATGCTTGGATAACGGATGACGCCAAATCATTGACCTCTCCATCTCCTTCATGGGAACTGCACCACCGTGTTGGGGCCACCATTCTCGGTGTTTTTCACACGGCTTTTTGGTGGTCAAGACTGGAACACTGGTCGTTCTACATGGGTCAAACTCTGACGTCGACGAGATCCATCTGGCCGTCCGCGAGGCCTTCTGGGCGAATATGGCGAGGCCGAGTGATGAGGAAGAGGAGGCCAAGGACGGACTGTTGCTTCGCATCCGAACATCTTCTAGGACCCACTGTCGGGGTGGTAGACATGGACACCCCCAAAAAACCTCCAATAGAAGCTATCAATAGAAGCCCCTGGTCCGCAGGGTCCTGGTTTTTCAGTTCGATTTCAACCGCGCAGACTTTGAAATTGGTATCACCATGTGCGACGCACGGGTTGGGGCATCAAGAAGCCATTGGTTCTTCTTTTCCTCTCTGCGCCAGGAGAGGAAGCGCGCCTGGCAGGACTTCATACAAAATCTGTGCTTGTCCGTGTCCCTGGAAACATCCACCGAGCATGCGACCATCATGTGGACCATCACTCGAACTTGCAGTACCGGATCATTCAGAAAAGACTGTGGGGATAACCATCCCACCCATGCTAGCACGCAAAATCACAAAGAAGATGCCTCAAAGACAATTCAGTCACAACCAGCACCACCTGACGATGTATGTTCCATCCAATCACCATGCTTTGGGTGGGGCACGAGGTGCTGAAGGTTCAAGATAGTAGTCAGTATAGTCCATCTCATCTCTAGTAGGCTGGAGGCCATCGCTAGGGTCAAGAGTCCATCTCAACTCCTCCTCAGGACCTCTTCTTAGCTCGGCCCAGGTCCTCCGGTGCCGCACCGGAACAGGTGATCCCGGAGCTCCTCAGCTTCGCTGAGGTGCTCCCACTCATGGGAGGGTGGTGGAGAATCTTCCATCCAGGATGTGTTGTGTTCCCATACGTGCGGTTTCCAGCATCCCGCCTTCCCGCACGGACGGGGGGGGTTGGGAACATACTATGAAGGAGGCCCCATGCGGGGCGAACTTTTGTTTTCCGGGGGTCAAACTGGAGGGTTTGCCCCCCATGAGATATATTTGCTACAGGAAGAGCTTTCGCAGGTTTTCACAAAAACATAGAAAACTATTGGGAACTTAGAATACTACCCACCTGGCATTCAATTCACACAATTTGAATTGAGATATTCAGTATTCATTGGTTCTCAAATTAGAGGATTTATGATTGTCTAATTCATGTCATGTGAAAAAGAACACATGTGTCACAATTATACCAAAACCACTCCATGTATGCCATATATGCCGCCCCATTGACCCCCAAAACCACCCCAAATGATCGGCGTATATGGCAGTCCCATGGAGTGTCTGGGAAACGTGGGAGATCCTTCGACATCGGATGAAAACACCGGTCGTTCAAACCGCGCGGTCGTCGCGGTTTGGGGAGGCTGCCGGGGTGGCTGAGCAGCGTTCGGTGGCACAGCCGGTGCGCGATGGACGATCCTTTTGGAGCTGCTGAAGTGTACTGTGATTACAACTCTATAATGTAATATAGTACTCAACTAACACACTTAATCATCATTTTATAAGATTACTTATATATAGTAATATGGTCCCCTGTCAATTGCCTCTATGGAATGAGGGGGGCCAAAGCTCATATAAAAAGAAATATGACCCCCACGGGTGTGGGGGGTTGGCTTCTGGTTTGATAGAGAACATGTGGGTTTTATAGTAGCATTGCATACAGTGATTGAACAATTCAGTATGTCTGCTCATATTCCGACTTTTAATTCTAGATGCGTTTAATTCATCTTTTTGAGGGTTCGATGCACTCATTTTATAGAGTTTCCATTTGGGTGGGGTAGTCATTTTATATACCAGGGGGTGGGTCACCCCCACCATTTCTTAAAACCAATGACAGGACCCCCTGCATGATATTGACACGGGGATGACCTAAGATCGCAAGGAACACGTCTTTTGGTCGACTTGCCGCAGTCACTGGGTGGAACAAGCGTGCAGTCACCAGCGTGTCGCTTGGTGTCGACCAGTCGCTCCATGGGACGATATGCCAATCTAGGTGATGGTTGCGGATATATTTATGTTCAAATGGGTTGGTAAGGGTCCAATCATCAAACATCAATATTTATGGTTTCGGATATGCCTTACTTGGTGATGAAGAAGGACCCTCTGACTAAGATGTGTCGTTCGTGGGTTGAAAACACCAAGCAGCAATCACTTGACAGCTGAAACCACCCCAACTAATTGGCCGATATGCTAGTCCCATGTGTCGTGTTTGGGACCAAGTAGCTGACGACGTGGTTTTTCATGGTGCAACGACCCCTCACCAGAGTGGGGGCTTCTATCTTGTTGCTTTTCGTGCGGAAGATGAGCACGTTGTTTCTGAAAGAACTTGGCCCAAGAGTCGCCGGATGAACCGGTCTCCTTCTGGGAGAGTCAGCCGAAATGCCATTTGTTAAACTATGTTAAACAAATTAGCCCTTATTTGGATGCACACAGTGTTTTTTTTATCTTTTTGAACCATATTGAACACAATCCATCCAATATCATCTCCATGTGTCAACATGTCAACATCGTCTCCACACCCCACCTCTTCCGTGACACCCCTCCGGTCCTCCTGCACCGTACCGTCTCGCAGTGATCCGTTGTACCGAGGATCTGAGGTGAAGGACGACCGGGGCGACGTCCTGGCTGTGGTCGATTGCTCCTCGGCGACGGGAGGAGAAGGGTCGAGATGTGTCCTGTCGAGATGGGTCGTTGTTGGGGATGGGCTTGGAGATAGGAGGAAGTGGAGTCCAACTGGGTGGAGTTGATTGTTTGAAGTTGGAGGTATCAACTTGAATGGTTGCAGGTCCAAAACTTGAATGTTTTTGTTCCTTCTTTTCGGCATCAACTTGGCGTTCCGTTCTCCGGCGGAGTGTGAACTCCGCCGTGAACGGCAAAAGAACAGAACTGCCAGGCTAAGTTCCTTTAGTCTGCAAGGCGAATCCGGAACTTGAGAGAGTTCACACTCCTTTAGTCTCCGCCTTGGAACTGCCTTGAACAACCAGAACTGCCGGAACTTTAGAGACTTGAAAGTTTCATCGCCGTTGCTTGTTGCGTCACGACCGAGGCCTTTGGACCGAGCATGTGCCGCCAGACTGGGCGAATTGGGTGCTCTTGGAAGGCGTCGTTCGCCGAAGGCGTCGAAGGATCCAATTCCGTGAGGCACAGCCACCTGCTTGTGGCCTTCATACAACTTTCAACATCTAAACCACCTTGTTTTTAGGCATGTTACCAGTTTAAAACGGGGGGACCCCCATTTAAACCACACACCCATGTTCCCTCCACATGTGGATCAGACCACGGTGGAGCCTTTGGATCATTTGTCGCATGCGGTTGAGCACTGATGCACTGTTGTCGATGCTGACATCCGATAGATCGGCTTCTTAAGCAGCAGGCAGTTGGAACTGTCGCACTGGCGCTGTTGTCGCTGCTTTCCTTGCTGTCCAGTGGAAAACCACGTGAGGCTTGGACGAGAAGACCGCCGCGCTCTTGGAAGATTGCATCCTCTCGGTGATGAGGACGTGCCCTATCGTCGTGCCCTGTCGTGGAAGTTGACGTCTTGCCCTGTCGTGGTGGAGTAGAATCTAGATCCTGTCACAATGATTTGGTCAGATTTAAAACCAGTCAAGATGTTAGAAGATGCTATAGGTTATATAGATAATACAATTTCATGTTGGAGAGTACTATATAGTACCCCATGATGGTTTTTCATCTTCATGAATCTTCTACTATATAGGTGCTCAAGAAGACTATAGACTAGACGAGATTCGCCGCGAAATCCGGCGAGAAATCCGGCGAGGGCAGCGACACAGCTCGCCAGCCGCCGCAGACGTGAGGAGCAAGGAGCTGCAGCACTTGCAACGGATGTCGCCCGAGGAGGTCGACGGCTGCGAGGTGCCGCTGGCGGGCGAAGCCAGACGCTTCGGGTCGGTCCCTGAAGAGGTCATGAGAAACGAAACACTAAGTGGTTCATGAAGGTGACTGATCTGGGGTACACATGGTCGGTCGGCAGGTGAATATTTGAAGAAATCTTTGCTTTCGAGTAGACGAGTGTTGCCAACGGGGGTCACACACCCGGCTTGTCGATGCTTTAAGGGATGGGCTGGGATCTAGACGGATATTGATTATATGATTATATACACTCCCCTCTGATATACGTATACATTGAAAAAGGGGTTTGAAAAAGGGGTTTGGATTTGGATTTAATATGCGAAGATGTTGACATCTGTTTGAACAAGTCATCGTCGTTTACACATGTTATAGATTGAGTATCGCCTTGCATTGACTTACCCTCCCTTCGCACCATGGACATTGAAGACATTATTGAATACATTGGGAGAGCTGTGATGAATCAGTATGACCTCAAGACGAAGGAGTCGACAGCATTCCATGTCTCGTGGAGTGGCCGTTGCATGCTCAGGAGGCTGCTCAGGCAAAGGGTGATTTGGGCTACAGTATGAACACCATGCAATTCCTACTGCTTGGACTCATTCCAGCTCCGGTTCATACAAGTGAGATGAGGATAAGAGTCAGAGGCAAGCGGGAATCTGAAACGTAGTGCAGAACCTCGTGGTGAGGATGCCCGCATCAGGAGGCCCACCACAGAACCAAGCAGCTCACAGCAATCCAAATTGGAGGTGGTGTGCCTGGCACAACAGCCGCAGTACTCGCCGGATTTGATGGGATTGGCACCTCGGGCAGTACTGCTGATGGATCTTGATTAGTAAAGGGCCCCCCCCTCAAACAAATTTGGGGACTTTTTTAATAAACTACCACCCAAACAAATCTGGGTTCCTGGGAGGATTCCTTTTGTAATTGATTGTAGTATTAATATGCCTTTCTGAGGTTCTTTGTAATTAGGTATTCTTAGCAATCCTTGTCCTTTGCAGTCCTCAGATCTTCATCAGATCTTGAGGACTACTACCTTGAACATTTGTTTACGAGCAATCTTTACATAAAGGATTGATTATGGAATTGATGGTTTTGGGAAGTTGCGAGTTTTGAAGAACCAAAGAAACCTATGATTACCAATAATACTTTCAGCAAGCCAGCCATTGTCTTAGTAGTATTCACAGATCTCCGCAGGATTTGAAACTCTCATGTTTCAGATATAGGATTCCCTAAAAAATAGCATAATAATAATAGAGGACCCTTAAAACAAACAGGGGGTCAAGAATCAATTTTCAACAATTTAGCATTATAGAGGGCCCTATTACTAATCAGCATCCAACATTATTAGTGGCATTGGGTGCTGCAGCAGGTGGTGCTATAGTTCTAGGTGGACAGTTTGGCTTCCATCAATTGGCAGCATACGCCAGAGCAAAGACAATTGAGATGCGAACCCAACAGCCATCAACAACCAAACAGATCTTCTCTTGACAGCCGAAGTTTACCCAGTGGGTGGTTTGTTCCGTGGCTGGATCAGTTGCTTTGCAAGACATGTGCATTGCTTGTTGGCTTGACCTCATGCAACATCAACCCTCGGATCGCGAGCTCAACCCATCGATTGGTGATGAGAATTGGAACAAACGTCGTAGCGCGTCTTGTCACCGGCGACCGGACGCACCGGCCGGGTTCGATCAAGTGAGTCCAGCACCGGCGATGACGTCGTTGCGCCATTGGCTGGAAAAGAGATTACTGGCCTTGATGCAAAATTCCTCACCAATCCCCTACCAAGGTGCCCGATCTGTAGAAGCGAGTTTGAATGTTACGACTGTTACGAGGTTTGTTAGTGAAAATACCGCCAAAGAGATATTGTTTCGGATGACCCTTGGCTCCAACTCGTCACTGGATGCAATGCCAATATGAGTTGATAAGACACACATACATATCAGATATGGGTCAGTGCGGCGTACAGCGAATAGGCAACGGTGCTTCTCCATGCGTGCTTCCAGTGCACAAGTTTTCTGGACAAATCAAGAGCGGCTATTGAACGTGCTTTCTCGAGACCTGGAGAGTATAATGCAGCAGACTTAAGTATACCATGTTTCAGAACCTTCAAAGGCTTTAACCGGGGGTTTCTCGTTTCGTTTCTGGTTTCGTTGGAGCCCAGTCACTGAGCCGTTCTCTTGCGGAAATGGCCAGTCTCCCCCAGGCCGAGCTCTTGCGGAAATGCCGCGCAGAGCGCCTTCCGCCGGAGGAATCTCAGGATCCTCCGTTTCCGATTTTGGGCCATGGAGGGCCATAGCAACGATTGAAATCCCAACTCCATAGTGTACAGTCTTTGATTATAGCATCCCCATTATGAAGAGTCACAATCCAAATGTAAGTGGGGGTTTCATGATATCAATATATATATATAATCTACGTTATTGAGCCAGCAATACCCCTGTGACACCAAATTGAACCAAGCAGAGGAAGCACCAGATCGCACTGTTTGATGTTGGGAGTTAGGGCATATTCCTCAACACCTGGAATCCAGAGGCAATTTGAGAGGTTTGGGTGCGTTTAGTTTGTACTTGCAATTGTTTGTCCTCCAATCCTAAGTATCATCCCTTTGTATTCTACATTCGTACCACCTTGTTTGGTTAGCTATTATTGTATTAGGAACAGCCAACTATTATTCTATTCATTTCTATTGTTGTTGTTTTTGTATTTTAAGGTTATCCTGGATCATGAACTGGAGAGGCTTGCTTGTTTGCTTCTATCCCAGTGCCTTTGAACGTCCAGGACGAGCCCACTTCGCAGAATGCCACGTCCGGTGCAGAGCTTCTTCCTCAGGACCGCTGGAGTTTGGGGCAGTCCAATGACGTGGATTTTTGATGATCGTTCTGTTCCAAGATTTGGTTGAAGTTCTTTTTTGGCCCCAAGAACTCTTGAGAGCCGGGCTCCTAGTTGTTTCACTTGTTTCACCGGGTTTCACCTGGAGACTCCTGTTCTCCACGACAATACCTAGCGGCCTAGCGTTTCTGGTCTGGATGTCGTGTAGGGGGAAGTGTAGGGTTGTCCAGCCAGGTAAGGAAAATACTGTAGTAGCTTTTAGGTGTTTTGACCTGTTTAAGATCATCTTCTTGAGTCCTCGTTGCCATTCGAAATGCAGGGCCTCGATTCCCGCCTTGTCGTAAAATGGGGCGACACGACCTCACCATGGTCGTCCTCACACCGGGATCTTTTTGAGTCCTCCGGTTGCTTCGCGAGACGAGAGTCGAAAGTGAGCTCGCGAGCTCGCTCGGACGATTCTTTAAGCAAGAATGGCAAGCAACGATGGGGAAGAAGTCATGGATCTGAATGGATGCAGCATGATTCAAAGGAACAATTGGACTGCCCCGAGGAATCGAGCTTTGGATGTTCAAACCATTTCACCACCTGTCTAATCATGCACATTGTTTCGTCTCATACTGGCGGTGTCTCGGAGGGTCTTGCAGAGACCTGAAGAACACGAGTTGATCAACCGTTGCCCTGCAAATTGTCCATTCGGCAACTCCTTTTTGCCCTCCGACAAGTCGGCACCGAACCGAAGTCGACGACCAATTCGATTTCAAGTTGTTGGAACTCCGATTCAGGTGTACAGATGTGGGACACACTCTGGCCCAAAAGCTTTTGTTTTTTTTGTTTTTTTCCCACCTTTCAAAGGATCTTTTGGGGGTCTCCCTACTTTATCCTAGTCTTTTAATTGCACATGCCAAAGCCAGTGTGCTTTCAAAATTCTTGCAGCTTTGAAGGGGATTGGAGAATCAGCCGACTTTGGTTTCCGGGTACACCCCATTTGGCCTTCACCCTCCTCTCTCACGTGAGCTTCGTGCGCAGGACGAAGCTCATGTGGTCCCAGCAGAGGGCTCGAGTCGACCATCCCTGGAGGTGCGGCAGGGGGGCGAAGGGGTCGCTTGTTAGGCTCAGGCTGGCGGTGGGTTTTGGTTGAGGTAACAGATGTATGCTCATTTTTGTTGGACGTCGGAAGTCCTTCTCAAGGCTGTTCTGATTCAACACCTGGCCAAGGGGATCCTCCGACCCTCCATGGGGTGATCCTGCGTCGCGAAGCGAAGCGACCTACTGGCTGAATGAGTTTTAACATGGCAAAACGTTCAACTGAGTATTACTCTAGCGGTACTTGGTTGATTGGTTCATCCTGGTTCTTCAGTTCCTGAACTTGATCCCCGGTTCCGTCACCCTCGAAAAGCTCACATGTTCCGTCCCCCCAAAACCACGGAATCGCTTCGCATGGTCTTCGATTGATTGGATCCTACCCACCGCGCCTCAGGAGTTGGTGAAGCGCACGCGGCCACTGGTGGAGGTCAGTGGCCGTGTCCGGAGTGGCCGGACGTGGAGTGGTGACACCCGTTTGTTGTGGAGTGGTGACTCAAATTCCTGGACAAATAGTTTGGTAAATAATGGTATATATATGCCATATACATTGGAGTGTTTGGGATTGGCAAGTAAAAAGGCAGAATGGTGCTTCCTTTTTGGGGCATGGGGATTCTTTGTAATAAGTATGGTTGTTTTCCCGGTGATCAGTTAGAGGTGATTGCATGATTGTGGATCGCTTGGGTTTGAAAGGACTTGGTTTAAATTAAGGTGATCATCTAGATCTATTGGCTTAACCAATTTGCTTGGACTTGACCGTTTGGTTTCGTGAGTTTTCTGAATCCAATGCTTGCTTGAACATTGACAGACTCCTGACAGCTCAGCCAATTGAGTAGACTCAGTAGACTCGACCTGGCGAAAACGTTTGCCCCGCCTGTAAACTGATTAAACCTGATGAAGGTAATATGAAGACAGTCTTTTGTGGAGTATTATTCGGAGGTCATGTAACACCAACCACCAAGTGTTTTCGATACTCACCAGTCAGTCTCACAGGAGACCACTAAGGTGGCCTTTTCTTTAAGGTATCTTTTTCGAGTGTCTAACAAATTCCCTGGAGACCACTAAGAAACCGTTGGTGTAAGGTCCTCAGATCCCTCCAAGCAGATCCAACCGACCATGTTTCACCAGGCAGTGATTGACGACCTGCTGTTCTGCCACGTGGGCATCGGTGGCCAATTGGTGGATTTGACCATCGAGGTCCTCGCAGCAACACAAACCACACGCGATGCGTCGTGCATCGTGCCGTGCGCGATCATACTGGATTTCTGTCTTGCCAAGAGAGGTTGAACAGCCCTTTGTCGCCCATCCCATATGTACCACATTGTACCACTACAGGGTCCTATATGGTCTCTCAACCTCTCTTGGTGGTTTCGGAGAAGAATCCTTCCAAGAGTTGCACCTTTGTTGGAAAGATCGTAAGATTGGCGGCCGTACTTGTAGAGTTTTTTTCCAGGAGATGGCCGGCCTCGGCGGTACCCGAGTCCTTCATTGTGCCTAAATCACTAAACCATTTTAAATAGAAGAGATCCCTGGACTGAACGCCGATCGAGTTTGGTCGAGAAACTCGTGGGGTGGGTGAATGGGCCGAGGGCATGTGTGCGCTCCATCCGACGGAGGGCAGTACGAAGCTTTCGCGGCGACTCAATACGCAGCTTGTTGGGTGCACTGAGGTGGAATTGTCTTCCCCCAAGAGGTGTGGTCACATATTTGGGGTTCTTACGGTATAAGAAAAGAAGAGCCGGGTGTTGAGCAACGGTGTTCCCTTTTTGTTCTTGCTCGGATCTCGTCCGATTTCGACCTTGTCCACGGTGTCTAAAGCCAGGAGCACCGGAAGAAAGACAAGAGCTTCTTCAGCCTGCTGGGAAAGGCGGGGTCTTAGAGTGAACGGAATTCGTTTAAGACACCTCCCCAGGGGATCCAGGCAAACCACTACAGTTGGGAACCCGTTGTTCCACTAAAACCATAGAAAACCACTAGACGAAAACCATAAGCCAAGTGGGAACTGGGTTCTCTTCAGCCCCTGCTGCACCTATTTGCTTTTTGCTTCAGGGTTCTGAACCATGATCCTATGATGTCCTATGCCTTTGAGAGCTAAGTAGATTCGTTTAAAGCCACTGACAGGGGGGACGATTCATGGTCTATTCCTTACAGCCAGACATTCCATGTACATTATGGCATATATTTATAAACTACATTCACCCCTGAAGCCACCCCCATATGTGCATATGCCATACATGACATGTCTCATTGGCACACATGTGTAGCCGCGATGATCACAGTTATGTACTGTCAAGCTCCCAGTCAGCTTTATGGCACGTCTCAGAAATTGGTATGCAGCCACTGTAGGGGTGCCACTTGGGGATCATTTCTTCAACCAATGAGTGTGCTCCTTTTCTGGATTTCTCGCTGACAAAAACACGTCCTCTTCATCATTCTGATCAAAAGGGGTGACAGCTCTTCAGCTGGTAATTGTTCCATCCACTCTTGGGTCTTCCTGTGTTCGAACCCCGTCACGAGGTCCATGACCCCCAAAACGAGGTCGACGGAGCCTGGTTCGAACACAGCCAGTTGGCCGGGTTCGCACACCCGATGAAGTACTTTCTTCGCGGGGTACGCACCCAGCGCACCGAACTTGGACTTTGGGCGGTGCAGAAAGACATGCCGTCGAGTCGAGCGTGACTCGGGGGCGGTCGAGAGATAGCGGATCCAGGCTCTTTGGTCACACGCGTTCGAGCTGGTGGCGCTTTGTGCCATGCTCCAGTTTGGGATGCTCAGACGGTGAAAAGACGACGACACGGAAGAAGAGACTTGTCTGGGGAACCGAGCTTTGAGCTGACACCGCTCCGAACTGAATTTCAAGCCCAAGCCCGTCATTTGCAGGCCTCGAGCCCTCTTTTATGAATTGTATACAGCAATGGTTATCCATGATCAGAATATATATATATAATTGTTTAACAAATCTATATTCCCAGACACTCCATGTATGCCATATATGCCTACATTGGGGTGGTTTGGGGGGTCAATGTAGGCATATATTCCATACATGGAGTGCATGGGATTGCTCACTGACTATCACTGACTCATAGTCGAATCATCGGTGCTTGTACCAATCAATCAAGCTGCAAATACCAATCAAGCCAAGCATTCCACGACCACCACCGGAGATTGGAATGGTTGCACAGACACATCATGCAGCATCATGTTCTGTAGTCGATGGCACATGTGTTGTTTTGGCTGCAGGATAACCATCAAAGCTCACTCTGGGCCTCCATGGCAGTGGTTGTTGACATTTTCCAAGCGCCATAAATAACCAGATGACAGCAGCAGTGGCTTGAAGCGGTTTCTATAGACTTCATCGCTCAAAGATGGTTCACTCAGCTGCGGAAAAATCTTTGGAGTTGGTCGTTTGTCTCATCAGTCAGTAATTAATTGTTACTCATACTTGGATACCCTAGACCCTATGTTTGGTTCAGATCCCTATACCCATTCACATCCTTTCACTAGTGACGAGGTATATCCTGTTTTTCCATCCATGTGTTTGGGATTGCAAGGCCGCCTTCCCTAGTATTCGAAGTAAGTTGAACCACTGACATACTGCATTCCAACGACGCAACTCCGATCTCACCTGTGAGGTTCATCAGCTATCGATCCGTTTTGGCGTTCGGCAGCGTCTTCACTGTAGCAGCGTGGGCTGAAAATCTGGGTGCTGTCAGCATGGCCGGAGTTCTTAAGTTGAAGATGGAACGAAGACCTAGATGCGGTTTGAGCCATCACCATGGCATTACGTGGGTTAGCAGGAAGTCCAACATACCAGCATGAAATAGGTTCTCGACCATATAGTAATATATTTGTCTGGGTGTTGTGCCGTGAAATCGGTTCAAGCACTGTAGAAGACGCCCACAAAGTCGGTTCATGTTATATAGGAGAAAGTTGCCTCCAGTTGGTACAGAGCTAACGGAAAAGACCACTGCGTCGGGCAAAACGGGTTCAGGAGAACAGCGCAGGATCCGAGAGTTCTTGCTTGTCTCTTTCCTGCGTTTTCCTCTACCGAGTCGTGGGTTTTCTCATCACGTCGATCGATCACAAGATCTGTGAATGTATATACGTCACGTGGTTTCGTCCTCGCGTCAGGTCTCGAGCGTGTGTCTTCATGCGAAAAAGGTCTCGAGCGCAACCGGTCTTGAGGATATGGATGTGTATGTTCATAAGGGGACTTCCTAAGCACTTTTGCTCCGTTCGTAGCGATGCCAGGAGCTACTAATTAGTAGCTTCTGCTTCTTGCACCGTTCGTAGCGATGCCCTTTGTTACTAGTAGCGTCCTGGCTCCTAGTTGATTCACATGGATTCAGTTTGCACTATATAGTAACGAGAAGCTACTAGTAGCTCAAGGCATGGCTACTCACGAGTAACAAATACATTTTTTTGATTTTCCGAGAGGTGTTTGGGAGGTCTCCCTATTCTAGAGCTGTTTGGACGAAGAGCGCTCAGAACAAATCTTGGAGAATGTGGAGCCAGGGATGTGCAGTCTTCAAGTACGCGCTGGACCAGGAAGATGTTCCCCGGAACTTCCTGGAACCTGAAAACCACTGGTGCAGCTGGAGGAAGCTAGTCTTCCAAATGTCTATTTTCAGGCCTCACGATTTAGTGCTGCGAACGGTATACCTAGCGCTGGTTCCCATGTCTCGTGCCGGTGTCCAACAGCTCGCGAAGACAGAGCAACGGCGCAAAAAAAGGTCTGAAATTGGCGCAGTCCCTACAACTCCAAGCAACTTTTTGAGAAGGTGCTTGAGGTGGGTGCGGGGCTCCAAGGACCGTCGTTGGACCCGCGGAACCCGCAGTTTCGGTCCGACCTCCTCAGACCGGTCCCGACGGCGAGAGCAGTGCCGGGCACCGACAGTTGTGGAGAAGGTCCAGACAGGTTGTGAGCTGTGCAAAGGCCAAAACAAGGTCGAGTTTTATTGGGACACTTTATGCATATAATGATAACATACGATATAGTAATATCTCTGTATACATATATATATAATATTGATATAACTCAACATCAAGCATGGGACCCTGCTGAAATGGTAGCTCCAAGCACGAGTTGGGGGGAACTTCTCGGCGGAATAAATGGAGCTTCTTCCCAGAGAAGAAGATGGAAACATGATCTCCCCCCGCAAAGCAGACCTGGAAAGTTCTGTTTTCTGTTTGTTTTTAAATATTCTATGGCCTTGAGAGACCTGGAATCTCTGTGTCCTCAGCCTGAGGTAATCTCGCAGATGTTCTTCCCTCACGCGCCACCCAAGCTTTGGCGGCCTCTTGGATTGAGGCAGACTGGATTCACAGAATTGATTGGTTTGTATTCTCCCTAGGGCCGCAACTACCTCCTGAGAAGGTGCTTGAGGTGGGTTACGGGGGTCCAACGACCTTCTGAGGAGGCAGGCCAGGAGTCCTAGGGTATTTTATGGAGAGACCACCTGGCCCTGGCTGGATAGACTGGTCTATTGTGCGAACCTTCTAGGGGGCCGGAACGCCTTGAAGGTCTCCCTATTTCAACACACACACCCATTTGGGTTTGTATTTGAAGGGAAACTCTCACCAATGGATTGTGGTCGATTTTCCCTCTTTCACGTTCTCCCTATTCCTTGTTGTCAGGGGATGTCCTGCAAGTCTGACTTAAGGGGCTTCCCAAACTAGATCGAGGATTTCTTGATTGTATAAATTGGTGAGAAAAGCTACGTAGTGACGTCACCTAGTTGGAACTTGGAAAAGATCGAGATGCATTTGTGAAGCATCTGAGAGGGCTGCACCCAGTCGTGGTGATTTTGGAGTACCACTTTTCATCACTCTTCCTGGCTACACTGTCACTGCATCAATGGCTATCCTTTTTGCGAGGTCAATGGCAAATCTCGATCGGTGGGTGCAAAAATCCCTTCGAACCACGAGGCGCAACAGTTACTCCGATTGGAACCTTTCACCGATTTTCACCAGGGGATGGTCCACTTCGGTTTCAGGGAAGGTACTCCGGGTACTCCCTGATCCATCTAAAACCTTGCTTCAACAAGCCTGCCCTAATAGAAATAGGGTTCATCGACTCATCCCATCCACCGATCCAGTGAAGCACCTCGCACCAACTGAAGCTGCTCGCCAGTTTTGAACACCGCGTTTTGAACACGGTGCTTTGATCCACTCTGATCCACTCACAGTTTCAGAGCTCGGGAAGGATGTGGGGTGAGACCAGGTTCCTGCAGATCTACAACATCTTCACCATCACTCTGAAGATGTCCTCCTGACCAGTTTGACCCAGAAAGCTTCACCGTTTCAACAGCTTGGAAATCCTTAAACAGCCTGAAACAGTCCCACAGCTTTGGTCGGGGTCTTGTTGGAGCCTTCCAAGTAGCGGAGAGTACTGGACCGGAGGGTTCACCCAGTCAGGAGCGAAACTTCAGAGCGGTTGAAGCCATTTTTGGACATTTGAAGGCTGAAGAAAGATATACAGCGCTTGGACGGATCGATGATCGATGGATTGAGGTGTTTCTTTCTACCTCACTCCTCCAGGCTGTAACCTTTTTTTCGATCTTTTGTGTGCAATCAGCAATCTTGGTCATATGTGTTGGGACTTTTTTACTGTACCCAGTTTTGTTTTTTCTGTACCAAACTGCATCTACTGGTACTGAAGACTGGTGTCCTTTCTTAAGGATTCCGTGTCCTTTGGATGTGCGTCGCAGGAAGTTTGGTTCAATGTTTTGCTATAGAAGTGAAAAGCAAAAGACAAAGATCATGGATAGCCTTGCAAATCCCAGAACACCCTAACGAACAACAATGGAAGAATCGACATGCTCTCGTGGATTTGCCAGCGTTTCATGGGATGCAGTGACTGGGGCATCTTTGAAGATGAAAGTTTCTCCAACTTGTGTAGAATCTTTATTCCAAGTACTTCAAAACAGTTCGAAGATGTTCGAAGTACTGTTTGAAGTATATAAAGCAAAAACTGATCGAAGTACTTCGAAGGATCACACAGATTGGCGAAGCTGCCCCAACAAGCCCGCAAAGAGTCTCCCTAGCATCCCAGCCACAGTGGCTCACTTTGCTTAAGCTGCAAGCTGACCGGTTGGGGGTCCCAGACGTTGACGGGAAAGCAGACGGATCAGGGTGGAGAAGGTCATATTGGCTACTCTTTTTTCGAGAAGGTTTACCATTGAACTTTTGTACCTTCCAAACTGGTGAGTTGCAGTGATAGCCTGGATGGCTAGTGGCTAGCAGATCTGCCTGATCGTGGCTATCTCGGCAAAAGAAGCAGAGCCTACAAGATCTTGGTACAGCACTGTGCTGTAACAACATGCGAAGGAAACCACCGAGATGGAGCAACATAGAACCAGAGCTACGTGGAACCCGTGTCTTTTCGCCCTGCACCGTCTTCCAGGAGGAGACTCAACCAAGGAACTCAACGCAAGGACATGCAATCCACACATTCAAGGTGCAATTTGCTCCATGAGATTGTTAGACTAGCCCCTATAGGGCTCCTGATCTACCTCCTGAGAAGGTGGTTGAGGTGGGTCACTTGGGGGGTCTAACGAAACTCGCTTGGCTTCGCGCCCCAGGCCCCTCCTATCCGCTCCTACCCGTCGTGTCCGCGACCATGGTCCACCGCGCAGCTTGGAACCGGGACATCCGAAGCGGAACCGCCTGTGACTTCCCTTGATCAACAGCTTGGAGGAAGCAGAAAACTGCTTGGCTGAAATTGGGTGTATTTATGTTTATTTGTTTATGTCATTGAATTTCTCTACGAACCACTTCGTGGAGAAACAGGAGATCAGTCAAGATATATCTGGATATCCCGCGAGGGTGGATCATGAGAGCCAGACCCTGAAAGTCTGTGAGAGCCAACTCAGCTCTGAGTCTTCCTGCCAAGCCCGGCCAAGCCCAGGCCGAGCTAGTGAACATGGCCTGGGCCTTGGCCGCCCGCGAGCTGCGGGAGGCACCGAAGATGGCGTGGATCGCAGCGACCGTGCTGCCCGAGGCAAGAATGGACAGGGTCAAGGAAATCAGTGAAACAGGAGAAGATCAGAAGCTGTTGGCGCTACTTGGATCTATTTGGACTACAGCAGTTTCCATTGGTAACTGCATGATATTGCATGTATATAATGGCCGTTAAATATGCCTAAGATCATGGATATGCTGCTTTGGAAGGTCCTCCCAAGAGGATGGAAAGCAGGACAAGGCCCCCCCGGGGCCCCAGCTACATGTTTGACATTTGCAGCTTCCGGTGGAAGATGATGGAAGTCATGCTAACCGACCTTAATATTTTAATTAAGGGTGCACAATTCAGCAATATTAATCATAATTTTTAGGAAAAGTGTGGCAAATGGAACTCCACTGCATCTCCACGAAGTCAAGGATCCCAATGACTCTCTCTCTCTCTCTCTATATATAAGGATTAACGATGACCAACGTACTGTATTCTGTATATGGCAATTCATTGCTAGTACTCCAGCAACTAGCAAATGCCGTGGCGAAGCCTGACAACTTTGAGTTCTCGAGTTTTGAAGGATATTGATGAAAAGCTTTTTGAATACTTTCCGATATACTGTAGTATCTCCTTTAACAAATCACATGTTTGCAATCTACATCGGTGCAGTTCGATGACGTCCTATTCACTAACAAGCAACAAGACACTAGACGTACTGTACTACGTTTTGTTGCTTTTGGTCCTCTGGTTCAACGTATATTTGCTGCAAAGTAAACGGTTTTGCCTAGGGTGAATGTTTGCCTATGAGTGAATTCTCCATATGATGGAATTTGTTCTTGCTTGTTTCCGGTTTAGCTTGGGGCAACTGCTCAAGTTCTGTTTAGCTCTCTTGCGTCCGTCCGAAGCTGGCCGTTTGGCTTAGTCGACTCGGCCGTTGCACCGCAGGTGGAGTTTCTCCAGGCCCACGAGCTCTCCAGCTTGGCCTGGGCCTATGCTGACCTCGTGCAAGACTCAGCGGAAAACGACCGACAAAGGGAATTCACTGGCTTCCTTGGGTTTGTTCGTTCCGAGACGAGATTCGCCTGGTCTGCCAGTCCAAGAACAAATTATTTGGCCAGAGCTCATAATTGAATTCCTGAATCAAATTGATTCCCAATCCGAACCTCTTCCAGACTTTGGCTTCAAAATGTGGCGTCCAAATCAAATGTTGAATAGCAACTTCATGCAACAGGACAAAACGTGGAACGCCTTTTTAAACCACTTTGTTCATTGGTCTTCTCCTTCTTTTTCTTCTTCGTTCTGGACCACATCATACCGCACTCACCAACCACTGCATGTGCCTCTTCAGGGCTTGCTCCACCGGCCGCTTCTGGGAGCTTTGGCTGCCTGTGCCCGAGAGAAGGTGCGGGGCACTTGTCGCATGCGAGCTTTGGGTGGTTATGCTTCGGTGGTCGTAGGTCCTTGAGCACATGGACATGGACGTTTGTTTGTTGAATTTGAGTGAAGCAAGAGGGCCTGGACCCTTACGCCTTACACACTTGAGATGGTCTGTATATATCACACAAACACCATGGTGCTGTTTTTGTCCAGCTTCCAAAGACGGTAATGGTGGTCGTGGCTTTCTTATAACAGCAGTAACATTCCAGCTCATGTTCACATGGTAAGATGGTAGAGAAAACAATAGAACACATCATGACATGCACTATTTGTAGAGCAAAGCAGTCTTTTGGTCAGTTCCATTGGTTCTTCATCAGTTCCATCGAGGTACCGCCACAAAAACACCAGAAACGTGCATGCTTCAGCTCGAGCCTGTCCATATTCCGCAAGAATCACATCGCTTTGGCACCATCATGCCTGGTTCCAAGTCTGCGTGTAGAACCTGGGAGGATCCCTCCCCTGCAAGCTGCTCCGGTGTGTGTGTGTGTAACCCTTGGAATCAAAGGGATCCTTTCGGATTGTTTTTGCTTTTGTTTCTTC